GTCTTCATCGCATCACCAATACAACCCGCACATATACGTCAGCGCAGTGTTACTTGTGTTGCAGCAAGATGAACCTTTACATTCGGACCTCAACCCAGAGCGAACGCGCGTTCAATCTTCATCGCCAAGACTCATTCTGTTCTCGATAATCCCCCATCTCTCAAGCTGCATGAGCAGCTCGAGTGGATCTGCTGCGTTCCAAGCGCTGATTTCCCACTCTGTACGATTCCTCCCGCCCCCTTTGTCATACACCCAGGGTATTTTCTCAATGGTCCACACAAGCTCTCGTTGTGACGCGTTCAATCGACGGATGTACTCCCTCGCTTTCATAACTGCGTCTTTAGTCCCCTTTCGCCGAACCTTCATCACCGACGCTACCACATACATTCCTGGACATCTCGTGTTGAGGCGCAGCTTCGTGTGCATTCGGTCGATATCCGTCAAGATCGCGTGGTACGCATGCTTGTTGAGACCGAGGGCGTCCATTTCAGGTGTATGAGGCGGATAGATGGGATGTCTGAATCCGAAGCGCAGTACTCGGAGTCTGGTTCCTCGCTCTACCGTCTGACGACATTCCAGTCTTCTATTATGCTCGTAGCTGGTTCTGTTCACGGCACTAGGAAACTGCTCCTTCCACGCCCGATCATCGCTCACCAGCGCGGCAATGATATCTTGCTTCAGTGTAGTATCGGCATACTGCTTCCTCCTATTCACTAGAGGGTTGTCTTCCATCTCAGCCAGATACTTTGCATATGTACTGCGCCGCGTGCTGGCATTGATGCTTGCTCTCATCCAGGCTCGAAAGTAAGGATCGACACCGTATCGATCAATATTGGCACTCAGAACCTCCCGCTTACGAAGCGGGACAGCGTTGGGACAAAGAGGATATGGCTTCGAACGATCTCGAATTTGTGCGTGGTGGGGGATGAGGTTATCTGCACACCTGATTGTCTCCGCCGCAGACATTGCTTGACGCCCAAGTGTTGGTCTTGGTCCGGACTCAGCGCATGGAAATACGTCGATGAAGGACAGACGCTGACCCATACGCTGACTCGGCTTGGCTGGAGGCGCAGACATCAGTGCCGCTTGCAAGGTTTGGTCGCGATCGACATGGAGAATCTGGATATGTGACTCTGAGACACGAGAGGGCGCGAAAAGAGAGAACGAATGTACGCAAACCATCACCGAAACGCCCCTAGCTTGAAGGTTCCATGTTATCTCTTCAAGCAGCTGATTGAGCGCGATGGCCTCTTGTTGGTTCTTCTTCAACTGTTCGGTTGTATCCCAAAACCTGCCGCATTTGCCTGGCCCGTGCTTCTTTCCGGAAGTTTTGCGTTCACCGGCTTCAGCAAGGGATGGCGCGACCGGTCCCGCACATTTCTTTCTTCTTACTCCTGTCCAGATCTTGTTCAAGAAGTTCCTCAGCGCAGTTATCAAGCGACGATAATCCTCATACGTGAGGCCATGGTCTGCTAGCGCAGTTGTGTACTCTGTAGGTTCGCAGAGGCGAAAGGATGTCACGAAATGCGCTTCGGATCGAGTGCATTGTTGACGGTCGGAGACCCCAGGGAACAACATCCCGATGTCGTCAACGAAGCGTTTCTCCGGCTGTTGAGGAGGTAGGCGGAAGTCGCTTGCCTGTACGACGGATTTGCGAATATTCTCCAATGTCGAGTGCCTCATACTAATCGTCGATTTCAAAAGGCTTCTTGCTCTAGCTCCAATACGCTCGCCAAGGACGCGGTTATCGCCTGAGACGCAGGAATCAGGCCGTGTGGCTGGCAAGATTAGGCTGCTCTTTGGGAACGAAGACTCCGACTGCAGTGGCGGATCTGCGATCGTACTCTCCGAGCACTGTTTCCCAGACGACTGCGCATAAAGTGCGCGGTGATAACCCAGCGATTCCGCCTCTTCAACAACGTAAGAGTCGCTATTGGATATGTTGTTTGTTGCGACATCCAGATCTGGCTTCGTGGTTCGTTTAGGTATGGGTTCAGTGTGTCTGCGAGATAGCACAAGCCTGGCATGCTCGTCCTCCCCTTCTCTTTCCGCACATCCCATGTCTCCCCTCTCGCTCCCCAAGGTCATTATACAATCCACCGACAGCCGCTGAGCCATTTTGAAGATCTGGACGTCATGGGTCTCTTTCTCCCGTCTCTTTCCAGTTGTCATACAGTACTGACGGTGTCTTTACTCGTCGTGAGCGGATAAAATGGATTCGCAGTTCTCTCGAGGTGTTTGAAACTTGTTGAGGGCGCTGGTAAACATGATCGTGGGCAACAACCCACTAGATATGGACAGAAGCGACTGCCGGCTGCTAAATTTACAATCGTGGCAGCTCGGCAATGTTTCTCCTCCTGCAGCGCAATCGACTCTGGACCAATCTGCACTCAGAAATCTCGGCCGAAACTGAGGGCAGGGGCGTATGCGAAGACAAAGGGCTGCAGCAAGGGGCTGCCCTTTGCGCATGTCTTAGGCCACTACTTCAACAAGTTTCGACGCACGATGACATTCGAACACCACAAGCATTAAGTCTTCACCCAAAAGGGTCGCGTCCAAGGATCTACTAATTACACGGTCCATGGTGAGTTGCTCCGCGGATCTAATATGCGCTGCGCACTCCCATTTAGGTGAATTTTCAAGCGCAGAATACATGGCATTTCAAGTCGGGCTTTCGTCACCGCTGCGATCGATGTAGACTCTGGAGTCCAAGCTCAATGCGATTGTTGTTGGCCCCAAAGGTGAGGGCATCTGGCGGTGGCGCAAAGGATCAGGCATTTCATGCGCCCGAAAACGCCGCAATCTCATGGGTCAGGATTTGCACGCATCTCCGCAGGGTCTCTTCCTCTATTCAATTAAGCCTTCTCAGCCGATATCTGATGAGAAGTAGGACATCGGAGTCATATCGTTCGCGTATCGTCATAGACCAATATGCGTCAAACGAAGACTCAACATGTACACATCTACAACCCAGCCTCTCTCAGGCGTCTCTCACAGACGCCGTCAACGACCATGAGTTTTCCTACTAGGGCCAGTCACTCGACCACTGTGGTGGACTCATGCGGACGTGATATAAAACCTCTTCAAATTGAAAACTATTCCTGAACATCTCCGCCCTCACGACTACATCCCCAATCCAGGCGCCATGAATCAGGAACCCAATAATTACAGTACACGGTCTGACGAAAGATACCGTGATGTGGCCTTCTCGAGAAAGGAGGCACTGAAACTATGCCAACCTGGTGAGACTGGTGCGGTGACATCGGGAGGGTCTTTTATTGACGATGCGCTGGCAGCGAGTTCAGAAAGCGACCGATTACGCGCAAGGCATCATTTGCACGACCCTGCTACACATCATGATCGCGAGAGAAGCAAACCTGACAAGCAAGCTTACGTTGAAGAGGAGGACCCCGAGACAGGCGCTCTTCATCGTTGGGAACCAGAGTTTGACAAGAGCAGTGTCCATGGGAGAGCTGAGGGCATTGGTGAAAAGCTAGCATCGAGGCCCAAACAAGGAAACCGTATCTTGTCTCCAGGGAAGGCTACCACGAACAACGAGGCTGGAAAGCACCACGAGAAAGCGCGAGTATCTCACGAGACAGATCGGCACACTGTTCACGGCGAGCGTCACCGCGGTAAGCTATTTATGCCCTCATAATCTATGACCCGTTACTGACTATATGAAAGATACTCTCGAAGATCACGGTCTAACGAAAGACTACATCAAAAGTTGGCTCAGTCGTTCTGGTCAACAAAATGAGAAATCGACGAGAAAGAAGATGATGGCGCAATTGGACGCTCATATAAATTTACAGAAGCTCCGACAAGAAAATGCCGCATGCAAGGCAGCGCGTCTCGCCTCGTTACAACCCCCAGATCCAAAACCAATCATTTCAAACAACACGAGTAGTTCGCGGCGTGCCATAAATACTCCCAAAGATACCAAACCGGGTACATCGATCCGAACTCGTACCGAAGCCTCGTCGACCAGATCTACCTCATGTTTACCGACCGTTCGCCCGAACAGGCATGATTACACAAAGAATGAATACGAGAATCCAGTTCAACGGCGACCTGTCGTTCATTATCCTCATCGATCCAATAACACCTATGAAGCCAAGATTACTCCCAATTCTTACCGGTCATCTCCGCATCGCGAAAGCAAAAGCCAAAATGAAGTTCGATACGTCGACGTTGGTTGCCAGACCTCTGTCTCACTGCCCGGAGCTGGCCTGAGGACCGAAAAGGCGTTACTGCGGGCAAAAGAGGAGCGTAGGAGTGCTGCTTCTGGATTTTGTTGATAAGAGATACCGGTCTTTGCATTGAAGGGTTTGTTGAGTGACTTGGTCATTCCGGTCGCATACCAACAACGAACTTCCACAGGCTTGCTTGCCCACACCGGCCTTTGTTGTTCAAGGAAGCTTGGGGTGTCTTGTTGATGTTGGTCTTTGGTAGTATAGTATACAACATGAAAGTCCTCTGCTTACCTGACAGTGTTGGTGTTTGAAGTTAGTGATTCTTCAATGTGAGGAGGGCGGTGGCGACTTCGGCTGGTGCAATGTGTCGAAAGCGGTTACGTGCCACACGAAGTGCTAGAGTGATCTCTTCATCGCTCGTTCCTCTTTGTGCTGATCATGCTGAGCAATTTACGTACCCGATTAGCCCACTCCATAACAGCTTCGTCGCCTTCTAACTCAGGACACAGCCCGTACAGTCCGGGTCGGACGAAGTGCTCTGTTACGAGACGAACACTGCTTACAACAAGCGTTATATTTGCTAAATACAAGCGGAATCATGGTCCACGGGATGATTGTTGACGTTTGCTCATTTTACGCGCTGGACTGTAACTTAAATATCCACTGGAATCACTGTTCATACACTTCCCAAAGTGTCGTGCACTTCAACGCACTCCTTCGCATCCTAATCACAGCAGCTTTGTCAGCTGACGATAACCGTTCCTCAAGTCTATTGTCACACACCGACTTCGCATAGCGTTCAGCATGAAGTAAGTTTACGTTATAGTCGGAGAGAGCTCAGGCTGCCACTAACAAGCATAGTCCGCGCGACGACATCATCCAGCTGAAAGTTCCCAATGACGCCGGGAGCATTGAGTGTCTCAATGTCCACCGCGGTGTTCTCTGCAAGAGCTCGGGGTTCTTTCAAAAAGCCATGAAGCCAGAGTGGACCAAGTTAGGAGAAGAGAAAACTGTCGACCTTCCGGACGATCTGGCGAGTACGGTCAGCGACTACATCGTGTGGCTTTACCAGGGCAGCATTGCAATTAAGCCCTTTCTGCCAAGCACCGAGCCGATTGAAGAGAGGGCCAGGAAAGCGGAGAAGGTCTACCTTCTGCTTGCAGAAGCATACGTCTTTGGTCAGAAGATTCTCGACTCGGGGTACAAGAACGCGGTAGTAAAGGCCATTTTCTCAGCCCAGATGTTTTCAGGCTGGAATATGGGACCAAACTGTGTAACAACGATCTACGAAGGCACACCTCCAGAGTCCCCAGCTCGTCGCTTGTTTGCTGACAAATTGGCACACTCAGCCTACGACGACTCAGCAAATGGATTTGGCTGGATGCAGTGTATCGATGGATATCCGCAGGAGGCTTTGACGGATGCAATGAAGGCATTGCTGAGGGTTCGTAAAGCAGTCGGCCGTGCTCCTGTTATCACATCATACCTTGAGAAAGAGCAGGACTAAGATTCCCTCCTCGAGGAATCATGGCTGTGGAGTAGCTCGAGCTGCGAGCCCGGATGAATTTGCACGTAGGGGCAATGGAGAACTAATATCAAGTAGAAAGCTAGAAACCTGTGAAAGCCATTTCTATTCTTCTACACCTCACTAGGCAACACCCCCCATCTATCATAAAACTTCCTCTTGATCTCATCACTCAACACATCATTCGCCTGATTGATCTCTGCCATCTTCTCAGTAGCTTTCTTCTTGTCTTGTCCACGACAACGATCAGGATGCCACTTCAAACTCATAGCACGGTGCGCTTTCTTGATATCAGCGGCTGTGGCAGTTCGACCAACACCAAGCACGGTGTAAAGGTCCGTTGCGGGTTTGATACCTTGCGGAGGTGGCGTGACTGGGCGTTGAGATGATGATGGTGGCTGTCGTGGTACATAAGAGGTTCTAGGTGGAGCCCCGGGGCGAAAAGAATAAGAAGAATTGGTCGGAAACGAATGGGGCGACGAGTAGAATGTGTAACTGGGTGGTGATGAAGAGTAGGGGGGTTGACTCGACTCTGCAGTCCAACGCCGATAGCCTGAATATGGTGTGCGGTCTCTATTATTGGAGGAAGACCAGCTGTATGCATGGTTACGAGGGTCATAAGAGGATGAACGCTGCGGGCCAGAATCTCTAGCAGTATATCTATGAGAGTTCTCTCGCGATTGCTGAGCATGGCTCTGATAGTCGTACGCAGAAGGGATGTAATCTGGACGGCCATAGCTCGGTGTACTCCGATCCTCTGCGTGTTGCCATTGTGGCTCCCGGTCGTTACCCTGATAGCCGTAATGGGAGGGGATGTACTGAGGAGCGCGATATACAGGTACACTTGGTATGCTCCAGTCTTCTTCAGCTTGCGTTCGCATCTCTGCAAATATGCTATCATTGTTGTCTAAACGAGTCCACATCATACCGGAGAACCCACTAAAAGCATCGCCACCGGCGTCTCTAGCTCTCCATGAGCTATGCATCGGCGGGTTGTTATCGTACGAGAGTGGAGACGATGAATAGTTCTGGCGCGCTATACTCGCTTGATATAGCTCTTCCAGGTACCATTTCGAGGTAAGAGAATCAGCGTTGAGAACACGTTTGATGTAATTGAGGCTGCGCTCAGAGGCTTCGTCGATGGTGTAGCCCCTGTTGCGGCAGTGGAAGTAATAGCTTTCCCGAAGCTCTTCTTCTTCTACGTGTGTTTCCATAGGGAGGTGTATGCAGTCTTTGAGTAAAGGGTTGAAAGTGGTACTACAGCCGTCAGGGGGAGTTCCAATCAATGGAAGAATCGCGGAGGACTGTGAGGTCCGGGGTGGCTTGGTCTCTTATGAGGTGAATGATGCATTGTGGGGTATAGCACTGTTAAACAATAGCACTTCGGCAAAGGCCCCAAATACTCATTGTGATTTCACTGCACTTTGATTCGTTTCTAAATGAGTGATATAGGCCAGCGATTGACTGCCAGCCACTTTGGCATGATCCTAGAGTGAGTAGTTGCACTGACCCAACACATGTCAGAAACTGACTAGATGAAAAAGGTTTCAACGGAAATGAGATGAGTACCGTTTTACTTTACTGGAGTTTATTGCCTTTCAAAGCTTAAAAGTAAGTCGCCTCATTGCCTGACAGCTTGTTCCTTACCCAGCAGACGTCTCGTGGTTTTAGCATCAACATGCAGTCATAACTTCTACGGTACGTATCGATCGTCTCTTGCAACCGCTGTCTTGACTTTACTATGACAACATTTCATTCGGTTACTATTCGCTGAATAGCGAGGACAAGCTGCATAGCTGACTAACGGCAGCTCAGTAACGTGTCACAAGGTTCCCCGCACGATAACACTTCACAGCATCACGCTGATGAACACCACCGCTCACAGTGATGGAGAAATTTGACTGGAAACGCGCGGATCTGAATTGGATACATTTCCATTCACTCGCGAACCTTCTTTCACTTCGCAATGGCGGCCAAGTCGAGCCTACTGTGAAATTCGACACTGAGCCTGAGCTAGATCTGGGGGTCGATGACGAAGAAGATGAGGATTCTCGTAGCGTCAACACTGCTTTGGCAAACCAGATATCTGAATCAGGTCATGGTAAACTCAAGAAGCGATTTCTCGATGCCGTGGCTGGGTTTGCTGCGAACAAAAAGGGCGGCACAGCAGTTGCTTGCTCGGCTATGAAAGAGGCTGAGAATGACGTCGTCATCTGGCTCGCTCGCAACGACGGCTTCTCCAATGGAGATCGTCCTGTTTTCGAGAAATTGGGAGAGATACTGAGTTCTCTGTCCTACAACGGCGGTAAGTTCCGTGACACTGCCATATGCGCTTGCGCGCTAACTTAGGCTCGTGCTCATAGTCCAGGACTCCCAGGATCTCCTATGGGAACATATGGTTTCGTACCATAGTAGCCGGATCAAACAAGACTATATCCCCAAACTGAGGCGGGGCTTCGAAGCTTACGACGCTGAACAAACGCAACATGCCACCAACACGACAGCAGCTCGGCCAGTCGTTGATGCAGCGCTATCTGCCTTACGTGACATTCTCCTCAATGATCTGCCGAGTGACACGAGTACGTTTGATAAGCACACAAAGCTGATTGTGGCGTCATACGACCTGCGCCGGGAAGCTATCGATGAAGAGGCACTGAATAGCCGCGCGAGCTCGACTCTGGGATCGAGGAAGCTATGGAGCAGCATCTACCTTTTCTCCCGCGTTCGCGTGGCATACCGCACCTTCATCGAAATAGCCCAGACTCTGCCAAGTTTTGGGTGCATCAAATTCGTCCTCGTTTCCCGTCCTGCTGTATCTCTAAAACCACCTCAACGACCGGCGACTTTAAAGCAAACTTTGGGGATGCTCAAGTTGGACTTCAATTCCAACATAACGAAGGAACTCCTGGGTAATGATTGGAAGGTCAGTAAGACTGAAGAGAGGTTCAAGAGTCTGCAAAAGCAGAATCTCAACGTGCACGCCGAGGTGCAGATGCTGATAGCTTTGGCTGCGAACGAATCGGTAAAGTCGGATCTGTTCCCATATTTTGGGTGCAGCAAACTGAGCTGCTTCATGTGTAGTCGTTTCATACAGGCATATGGGCGATTTACTACACGAGGGTGTCATGGCCATCTCTTCAAACCGTGGACCGTACCAAATACAGATGGGCTATTGCCAGGACAGCCTGATCGCATAGCAAAAGCTCTCGTGGCGGTCCAAAATGAGCTCAAGAAAAAGCTGAAGGAGTCGATCAAGGGTCATGTTCCACACGAACGAACTTCGGTAGTTGGCGGGAGTAGCATCGTGAGTGAGTGGCCGGAGAAGACTTCATCAAGAAGATCGCAGATCGACCAGTTGCGAGCGCAAGGCGTACACGAAAGAGTTTTAGAAAGCTTTCGAAGGTCAGTGATGCTGCGGATTCTTGGTGTCACAGATTCCAGCTAGTATCAGACCTCTGACTAACCGTCACAGACAAGACGAAGATACGACCAGACCAGCCCAGTATAGATACCCACCCTCCGACGAAGAGAATATGACCCGAGAGTGCGACGTATGCTTCAAGCGAACGAGTCGAAGATGCGGTTTCTGTAACAAGGACTCTTTCTGCAGCGAACGTTGTGAAGATAAAATGCCTTCGCGGCATGTTTTCAATTGCTCAAAACGCCCGCTCACGACAGCTGATTTCTTATGGAGATCATTAGCAGAAGACCTCATACCAGAGGAAGAAGAAGTTTTGGAGGATTTTGGGTTCAATAGTGTGGAGTTTGGTCAAGGAAGATCATACCTTTTTGGCGTATATGCCGGTCTGTATCGGTCTGGCAGATTCTCAGCGGAAGACTTCCATAACTGGCGTATCGAAGGTATCCTGACTGAAAAGATCAAGGAGTTCTTCTACAGCCTTCCTGAGGATTCCCGCGGAGGCTACTTTCCTTGGTTCTTGGAAAACCTCCCTGTCCTGGAGACACCCACGACCAAACAACAGGCGACGCAAAACCTCGTCGCAAGCATGTTTGCTAAAGCTAGACCGTACTTAGATAACGAAGATCGCAACAAAGCGCTTGATGAGTTGATGCCTGAAGCCAAGCGGGATAGCTTCACCTTGCTGGCTCAACTGTCTCACCAGATGTCGCCGAATCCGATCGAACAAAACTGGTACTCTTTTGGGTTCGTAACCTGTCGTGGAAAGAGTGAGGAGAACACACTCGTGCAAGTCTACCAGCTCCTCCTTCTTGAAGATGATGGGAGTTACTTTTACAAGTTCTACAACAGCCGAAGGGACCACAACTCACCTGTCGGGTTGACGCAGTTTTGGAAAGCGTACGAAGCGGGAACACTCATACAGCTTATGGATTCGAAAGGCCTCAAGAACCTTCGATCCAGATTGCCACTCTTGGAGGTCTTCCTGTCCGGTTCATGCTCCTCCGTATGGGATTTGAAATGGTTCCTTGACATCGAAGACCCAGTGAAGTACCCGCCCATTCCTTCGGTGAGCCTCGACTATGGCTTCGTCAACTGCAACACGTTAGAGGAGACCTACACGTTGATTGAAATTTACAAAAGGGTTTTGCAGACCGCGCATCTACTAGACCTTCAACATGCGTGTATAACAGGAACTTTGTGGCAGTTCGCAAGCAGTCGCATCCGGATGGAGGAGAAATGGAGGCCGTTGATGAAGAAAGTCTATTCATTGGAGACACCGACAGTGTCAGAGACAGGCGAGGATATGACACCAAAAGCAGAATCAGAGGGACATGGAGAACCCGTCGTCGTTTCGTCGTCGCTACTGTCGAGACTGTGGGGCTCGCTTTCGGTCGTCTGATCCAATCCCATATGCCGTAGTGCCTGTTACGAACTCTGTGCTTTAGTAACCATGCAGTGCAATGTACAGTGTCCAATTGTTGCCAGACCTTAGACTAGGCGTAATGTTACATTGCTTGGAAAGAGAGCCTTAGCCTGGTTGCGTGTAGAAGCCTTATCCCATAGTGATGCATACATATGTTGTACATGCCCCAATTCCTCCTCACATAGGGACAGGCGTCAGATGGCCATCCTTGTCATACTTCGCCTTGAAGAACGTGTAGCTCAGTGTAACGGTCTCAATACCCTTCATGTTAATATCCTTTGTGAATTCGGGATCGATGTAGAAGAAGACGGGCATGTCCACCGTTTCCCCAGCATTTAGTCTCTGCTCTTCGAAGCAAAAACATTGGATCTTGCTGAAGTATGGGGCGACCTGTCCTGGTGTGACAGAATATGTAGCTACGCCAATGATATCTTCTGACGATTTGTTGGTCGCGGTGTAGAAAGCGAGAGCGGTCTCGCCGGGGAGGACTCGGACTTCGCGTTGTTGGGGAACGAATTTCCAGGGTAGGACGTCGGATACGGAGCCGTTGAATGTGATTCGGATACGTGGGTGGTGTTCGACAGGTTTTAGGCGCTCGGAGGGATCGACGGAAGTATCGCCGCCGTGGGCCGCTGACTTTATAGGCTGGCCTCCCCAACCAGTTTCCTGGCAGATCTATAGAACTTGTGAGATTGGGATTTAGTCAACAAGGCGATGATCCATGACCATACCATCTTGTAAAACGGCACTGAGCCATAACTGAGCGCCGTGAAGCCTATTATCACACTGAAGACATAGTTCCTACAATATGATCAGCGATTGCGCCTTCCGTCACCAGGGACTTGCACATACATGACTGTGCGGTTCTTCATTTTATATTGCGCATGCATCTGGTCCATTCTTGGCACGGTGCCATGCTGCCGCGCGGGATTTGTGCTGTTCATCCATCTTCGTGCGGTCAAGGCGGGATTGCGGGCGCGCGGTATCCTATTGAGCGAGCGAGAGCATGATAGGCAGGTCCAGGATCCCAGCGACCGTGAGGGAAGTTGTCGTAATGGCGATGCGGCAGACATGTTGTGTTGTAAGAGTCAACGAGCCAATGGACGAAACCTCGGCGGAGTGATGAGCAATGGAAGTTCGCCGCGGGATTTAGCCCGATTGGGAACGCGTCTTGGAGCGCAAAAGTCGCGAGTGGTTGCGGACGTCATCTTCGACACGCCCAGCACCACCATTCATACGACACATATTCGTCTTTTCCTTCCTAGATTTGAAGTTGCGACCCCCGCCAACAAATAGCACAATGTCAGAAGTCCTCTGCGGCGTTTGCAACGCAGAGCCCAAGAAATACAAGTGCCCGACTTGCGCGCTTCCATAGTTCGTTGCCATCTGCGATCTCCTAGATCTACAATACTGATCGCATACAGCTGTTCATTATCATGCTTCAAATCTCACAAAACAACACATCCCGAAACCGCATCAGCCGCGCCAAAGCCAGCAGAGCCAGCCCTCCCACAACCACCTCCTCCCGCTCCAGTACCGCGCTACCTAAAGACGCGCACCGACTTCTCTGTCTTAGCAACGAACCCTAAATTTCAAGAGCTACTCAAAACACACCCAACACTACTCCCGACACTCCAACGCGTATACGCCAAGACCATTAAACCAGATCCCGAAGCTGAGAGCCGGCGGCGCATGCTCGAGCGAAACGCCTCACGAGGAAGAGGCATGAGGGGAAGGGGCCGAGGAGCATGGAGAGGTGGACGCGGAGGTTGGAATGGAGGGCAGGAGAAGAAGGAAGAGTATTGGACCCAAAAGAAGGGAGACAAGGACGCGATGGAGGAGCTGAAGGGTATAAGAGAAGGAGAGGGGAAAGAGGGAGAGAAAGACGCCATGGCCGAGTTCGTTGGGTTGGTCGAAGAGCTCTTTGGGCAGCATGAGAAGGATGCGATGGAAGAAGTTTGATGCTTAAGCCAGAACCCACGACATCGCGACAAGCATTCAAGGGCCGATCTCCGACGGCGAAAAGGCTCACTTACTAGCCAACCACGACAATTTGAGTGCCAGAGATACGTGCCCTTCGAACGGGTACCCATGATATATTATACATCGCCAGCTAGCTAGCACGTATACTTGATATCCAACTCTATTCCCGGCACACCCTCGAAATCCTCCGGAACCACATACGAAATATTATAGAACAGATGGTTCCTCAGCGCCGTTCCATACGTCACATTCTGCTTCACCAAGCCCTCCGCCTCAACCTCAATCTCCACACACGGCAAATCCTCGAATCCCGTAATCCGTCTTCCGGTTCCCAACGTCCAACTCGGCGGCACATTCGACAGCGCAAACGTGAAGATATCGCTTCCCTCCTGCGTCCGGTTGGGGTAGCTAACAGAGAGATGGTTCGGCGAAGCGACGGCGTGGATCGACGACGCAGACGGGTAGAGGGCGAAAAAGGTGTTGAGCGGATAAAGCTTATGCTCCTTATCACCCGCCCAATGCACAATAGCAGGAACGAACTGATCCCCTCTGTTCACATCCTCATTCACCTGTTGCCCGCCAATCATCAACTCTTTGCTCACCCAACTGGACGCGATCCTCGGTTCACCTCCTTCCAGCTCATCCCAGACCGTTCGATTCAGCCACTTTGGCTCACCGATGAAGTCCCGTGTTGTAAACGCCTCTTCCACACCCGCTGGCAAAAGCTCCTCCACACCCCCCAGGACAAGCGCAATAGCCGCCCCTTGAGCAACATCGAACAGTAAATCCCCCTCCATCTTCTTCGGCTGGCTCGTCCGCTCCCTGCCCCAGAGACCCCACAGTACCAAAGACAAAACGGACGAATGCTGCGTGATATCCCTCGTATACGCCCTATCATATGGGCCCACCACATTCCCCAAATACCCGTTATAATGATCCGCCAAATCACCCATCATCCGCGGCAGGATATACTTCGCAGCCTTCGTCATACTAGAGTTACCAACACCGTATTTGATCTGCGCACCCATGGCCCAGACATCGATACCGTAGTACGTAGGCGCGTTGTACTCGCTAACCGTCTCCGCGCCTTCTCGTTGGAATAACTGCAATATCTTCTTTCCTTGGTCTTCCGCGAAAGACGTGAAAGTCGAGTTGGATCGACGGGTGCCGATGTATTCGCAGAGGAGAGCGCGCATCATAGCTGGATTCGTGTAGCCGATTGTTAGGTTATCGTCGAGGGTGGGGTAGGTGCCGTTGCGGCGCATACTTCCCACGGCGGCGACTTCGAGCGAGTCTTCGATGGAGGTTATAAGGGAGGGGGCGAGGAGGGAGGAGAATTCGGAGAGGATTTGGATTAGTTGGGTGCCGATGAAGTCGCGCCAGTTGGGGTCGTAGGTCGTCTTTGGGGGGAAGTGTATTAGCTTGGGAGTTGAGGCTTGTGATGGTAGATGCTGGTCAACGTACGTATATCTTTGGTACGTATAGACCTGATTCGGGCGTTGGATCTGGTTCATCAGGGGATAGCTTGTATGTTCCGTACCACGGAGCGTCGAAATCTTCTGTCATCTGACATGCCAGTCTGTTCTCACCGTCAATCTACAGTTTCTTTTCTTTCAACTCTCCTATGTTCGAATGATACGTACATATTCCTGATAGAGGCTTCTGCATGCTTCACATCGTCTCCCTGGTTTCTGTGCAACAATCCGGCTACGTACCACGCTGTGAAGCGAACAGACCATGGTCCCTTGTCGGAGTACTGGATGAAGTTGTAGGATGCGTCGTAGCGGTTGTCTTGTATGTGCATGGACCAGTCGAAGAGATCTTGTGCGTCTGGTTGAGACTGTTAGAAGACATGAAATGTGGAGTACAAGAGTATGTTTGACGTACTTGAAGAAAGTACCGTGCTGCTACGTTTCGTTACTGCAGCACTTGCATGCGTGGCGAGACATGCCACAACGAAGCTGATTGCCTTCATCTTAGACTATAGACGATCCAAACACATTCAAGAACCTCATTTTCTCTATAACAAAGTCGACTTAAATACCTTCCACGATTCCTGCACGCCTTCGCCGGATAATTGCAACCGCAATCAAGAACCTCCGCATCGTGAGCGGCGATCTACCCCAGACTTCAAGTATTCGGCGCAGTGCCCGCCGAAGGGTAGCCTCGTGTGTTCTAGTGAAGCTTGGAGTGCTTGGTAGGATCAGGTAGTTGCATGTGTAGTGTGACTTCTCGCTGCCGCTAATGACGCACCGGGAAATTCTCCCGGATATATTCCTCTGGGCGTTAATACTTCCGGTGCTACTAGAAATGAAGTCTTGGAACTGGTATTTGACTCTTGGAAAAGGTATATTGAGGCAGAACAACGCGTATCGCGGATGGGAATGTGGTATCGTAGAATCAACAGTAGGTTACGTTGTGAAATATTCCATCTCTTTCCTCAATCTTACTTTTCTTACGAACAAGAACTTATACCGTCTCGATATACCTTCTGACTTCCCAATCAGTCACGGCTTCATCCCACAGCCTAATCTCATGTTGCCTGGTGCCGCCAAAGTGGTCCACAAACTGATCGCCAAATACCTCTCTCGCGACACTTTCTTTCCTCATAAACCGCTCTGTGGCCTCCTTCAGGCTCTTGGCTAGGCGCTCGCCCTTATCCGCCTCTCCGCCAACATCTTCGCCCTTGCCTAGAGGCGGTATGCTAATCTCCATCTTCTTCTCGATACCTCGCCAGCCAAGAGCTAGAATGGCAGCAAGGACGAAGTGTGGGTTTGTGTCTGCGCCTGGCACACGCACTTCGAAGCGTGTTGCCTTACCAGAAGAGGTGGGAGGAGAAATAAGACGGATGGACGCGGCGCGATGTTCAAGACCCCATGATACAGTAACAGGTGCCCAGAAATTCTCTACTAGCCGTTTGTAGCTGTTGACATTGGGTGCGAGAATAGGCATGATGTCGGGGAGACCGTCGATCAAACCCGCGAGGAAATGCC